GATCCAAGAAAAAAAAATTGAAGTACAATTCTATCATTCTGTACTTCGTACGTAAAACATTATATTGAATGCATTTTTGTTTTTATTTTCAATCAACATTATTGCATATAGATGATGAAGTAATAATACAAAAGACACATATGTCTCATTCCAAAAGTTTATTTGACTTTGAAAAAAAACATATTATTAAGATTAACCATCAACTCAATTGCCATATAAAAACACCATGTGTTGTGTTTCTGACCATGATTTAGGTTTGGTTTGGTTTTTTTTTTTTTTTTTATGGGCCTGGAGCCATGATGTAGGATGGGAAGTAAATAGAACAAAGCAAATTGGGCTCTTTGGAAAGTGGTAGGTTGGAAATTCTGCAGGCAAAGCCCAACCTTCACACAGTGTGATTTATTTATTTTTAGGACGACGTGATAATATACTAAACTCACACACACAACATAAATGCTAAGACTCAAACTTAAGATCTTATTTGGGGGAGCATATATTATAAACCACTACACTAATAGTCTTTTACCACAGTGTGATTTGAATCTCTAGTCTTTTTCAAGATGTAAATGGGCTGACTGACCTTAATTGGGTCTGGTGTGGAAGCTGAGAGGATTGCTTTCACCCAAGTCACGTCACTATTAATGTTAGAAAAGCCTTGTCAAGATGGTCTAGAAGATACAAGAATGATCTGTAAAGGTTACAACAACAACAACAACAACAACAACAACAACAACAACAAAAAAAAAAGGGGGAGAAGAAGTTAATGACCAGAGTATTTGTAAAGAATGAAAAATTCCCAACTGAGGGGGTCAAACTTTAAAAATTAAGTCCAATATCAAACCTGAACTTATCCTAATCGTAACGTATTATCCTACCCTCACTCGCCACTAACCCAAGGGTTTGTGCATCTCTTATGATATCCTTTTTGTGTACGTAGGTCATTGTGGTGGATGGAGTATTGCAACTTGAAAGATATAAGTTAGACTTGAAGAGTACTTCGAATACAATTTCCAGGTTCTCCTAGAGAGTTCTCCAACATTTGACTCTCCACCCTTTATCTCAAAACGCGCATGGGGAAATCGACCCAACAAAGCCCATCGAAATCAATAATCATTATCTAGGAGAAGCAAAAACACTATACAATTCCAAATCCAGAAACTTCAAGAAAATCACTTTCCCCTCTTCCTTCCAAATATAAATACTCATACGATCATGTCAAAACACTCACTAAACCATCACTTGCAATTACAACACAACTAAAACAAAACCCAGAATTAAAATCCCTCTTCCAACACATACCAGAATTAAGAATGTCTCTCTTGCAGTCTCTCTTGGACCAACCCAACTTCTTGTCTCCTCTCAGAGTTTTTAACTCAGACATAGGCTACAACAACACCTACATGGACTGGAAGGAGACTTCACATGCCCACATCTTTGAAATTGATCTTCCAGGCCTTACAAAAGAGGATGTGAAGCTTGAGGTGCATGAAAATAGAGTGCTTCATGTGAGTGCAGAGAGAAAGGCAGAGCCTGAAGCAGAGGACCCCAAGAATGAAACGTGGCACTGCAGGGAAAGGACAAGTGACAGCTTCTCTAGAAACTTTCGGCTGCCTGAAAATGCCAAGGTTGATGAGATTAAGGCTTCCATGCGTGACGGGGTTTTAGTAATTACAGTGCCTAAGGAGGATGACTTGAAGAAAAAACACAAGCATCACAAGAAGGTTGAGATCTCTGGAGATGATGAAAAACATGGCTCCAAAGGGCTCGGACGCTTTGTGTGCTGCAAAGCTTAGAGAATATAATTACACTATGACACCCTTTTTCAATCAATGTTCATGAATTCAAATCTTTCTTGTGATTTTTGTTTGGGGTATGTAATTTTGCTTTGTGATTGATTTTTGGTGTGAATTTGTGCTGTTCGTATCGTATGTACGAATGACACTTGTAAAGGTCTATTAGTTTTTAAGTTCAAGTTCAAAGTAATGTAAATGGAGTGTAATTTGCAACATTGTGATTTTAAGTCCAGTTCTCATTTCCGTCTCTTGACTAGTTTAAGTTTAATTATCTTTTTTGATGTCAACTTTACTTAAGTCTAGCCAAGATATAGAATAATATGTGGCTAGCTTTTGCCTTTTTATATAATAACTCTTAGTGCTTAAAAAAAAAAATTATCAGCATTTCAACAAATAAATGAATTTAAGACCGATTATTCTAATATTTTTAATATTTATGTAGTGTGTGTGAGTTTTATATATTGTCGTTTTTTTTAATATTATTTCTAATATTTATGTAGTTTTATATATTATTACTTTTTTTAATATTATCCTGTGGAAATAAGGAATAATTTGCTAGAATGTTCCACAGGAGATCCCAATGAGCTTGTCCAAACAAAGCAAAGGGAATGTGTTTTGGACTGATTTAAAATGCTTGATTACTTCAACACGTTTGAGCAATTAAAGGATAGTATACTTAACCTAATGATTATTTAGTGGATGAGAAACTTTAAATATTATATGATCTGTACTCTGTCAAGTTCAAGTAAATGTAAACAATGTTCAAATCTTGAACAGCTAATATATGTTAATTTAATTCATTAAATTGGTCCGGGTGTAAGTTGTCCACTGGCTAGGACCTTCCCCTAGTGGGGTTGACTCAAATTACACCATGAATAAAATACAGTATCAACCTAAAATGAGACTTAATTTCCAAAGCTACATGTTTGCATGTTACCCTTTGTTCGATAAGGCTCAATAGTGCTTCTCACGTTTTTTTCAAAACCCTACAACGCATCAACTCAGTTTCTAGAGCTATATATAAAAACAAGTCTAGCTGAAGATAAAAATTAGGCATACACCATAACACCAACTACCAAGACCTAGCTGAAATTAACATGAAGTTGTGCATTTCTGTATTGTCTGTTGTTCTTGTTCTGTTGTTTGTATCTGCAGTACCTCAGTTAGCAGCTAAAAATGTAAAAAAGCCCCAGGCCACAGTTGTGCGTGCGGCGGATCTTCTGTCTTTCGACCACTATCTTAAAACATGTCCCCAAGCTGAGGGCATCATTCAGCAAAAAACGGGAGACTGGATCCAGAAGGATTTCACTTTGGCTGCTAGCATCATTCGCTTGCACTTCCACGACTGCGCTGTGAGAGTAAGCTCGCATTCGCATTAAACTTTATCATTTTTTCTTCTTTTACATTGGAAAAGAGCCAACGCTTAACATATCCTAATCCGAACGCATTACTAATTAGTATTTTTTTAATGTCCTTTACCATGTTCTAAACTGTGCGACGAAAATTTAGCAGTTAATAGAACAAAGGCTTAGAGCATATAAAGAAAGAAATCTTTACACGTATTAGATGTGATGAAAATAACTCTACATTGCAGGGCTGTGATGCATCAATTTTGCTTAACCATCAAGGGAGCGAGAGGAGAGCATTTGCCAGCAGGACACTCAGAGGTTTTCAAGTAATAGATGACATCAAGGCAGAGCTTGAGAGGCAGTGTCCTAAAACCGTCTCCTGTGCTGACATTCTCACTTCTGCAGCTAGAGATGCCACCATTATAGCTGGGGGTCCATTTTGGCAAGTTCCGTTCGGGCGTAAAGATGGACGGATTTCAATTTCCAGGGAAGCTGACTCTGTTCCTCAGGGCCATGAAAATGTAACTGCACTGATTGAATTTTTCCAAGCACGTGGCTTGAACATGCTTGATTTGGTCACCCTTTCAGGAGCGCACACCATTGGTAGAAGTTCTTGCTCTTCCTTCAAGTATAGGCTCTCAAACTTCAATGGAACCAGAAAGCCTGATCCTTCACTTAATTCCATGTATTTGAACAACTTCTTGAAGAAGAAATGCCAAAAAGACTTGGACTTGATTTATCTTGATGCCATAACTCCGAAGACATTTGACACGCAGTTCTACTCAAATCTTCACAAGAAGTTGGGGTTGCTATCAACAGATCAGTTGCTCAAGTCAGATGTAAGAACTGGTCCATTTGTTGCTGCATTGGCATCTCAGCCCTCCCTTTTTGAGAGCCAGTTTGCAGTGTCCATGGTGAAGCTTGGAAATGTCCAAGTTCTCACAAGACCAAATGAAGGTGAAATCCGAGTGAACTGCAATTTTTTCAATGCTTGATCAAGCCCATAATATGTTTTTCTGTTTTCCCTTTTACCAGTTTGAAAAGCTAATTACATTTTAATAAGTTCAAGCTTGGATTTATGTGTCTGATCACAAAATACTCCTTAAACAGTATGTAGGTTCGATCCTGCTTAGGGAATTTTCTTGTATTATGATAAAGTCTCTACCCATATATTGTACTGCCATATTGAAAAAGATATAAAAAGTAATGATCATGAATGTTATATCTACAGTTGCACATTGGTGTGACTATCATACTGCCACGTAAAATAATAACACCACGAGATGAAACAACGGTCGCACCCAGGTATTTTCGCACGTGTTCCAGGCAACGGACTTTGAGCTTATAAGCATACAGAAAAATGACAAAGTTGAAACAAAAAGGGAATCAGAAAAATTGTACATCAACAACACTGAGCCCGTTGGATCAAATATGCAACTGACCATAGTTATAATAGTGTTGTAAAAGTTGGAAACTTTACCCTTTTGTGACAGCTAGTGGAGTCAATTCCTGCCTGATACTTTTTCCATTTTGTTTCCCTCCATCTTGGACTCACATTCTCATGAAAACATTCATCTTTGACAGAAAAGTAAATTTCTTTTCGGCAAAGAGATTTGTATAATGTGGGAAAAGTGAGAAAAGGGTTTAAATTTTTTCAACTTCTTTCATTTTTCATTTGTGCCAATATGAAAAGGGAGTGTGCTATTCTGGCAATAGATATTATCCAGCAAAGAAAGCAAAGCCAAGACGTGCCTCCAAATCAGTGGAACAAATTTGAGATACTATAATTGGATCTTGGAAATAACCCTAATCCTTAGGCAACTATTATTTATCATGACCCCACACCCAGTCAGGCAGTCACCGATCCAACCCAATCAACGTATTATTTATTACAAGATAAAGCAAAAGTAATCAGTCCAATATTTTTTTCTTTTTCTCAAAACCCAGAAAGGATAAAAAAAACAGGGATCAAGAAAGAAAAACAGAGACCAGAGACAACAAAAAAAACAGAGTGAGAGAGTGATCAGAATTGAGAGAGATGGCGAAGAAGGCAGTGCTGATAGGATGCAACTACCAGGGAACCAAGGCAGAGCTGAAGGGCTGCATTAACGACGTGAAGAGGATGCACAGCTGCCTTGTGGACAGATATGGCTTCCGTGAAGATGACATCCAAGTTTTGATCGACTCGGATTCCTCCTACACTCAGCCCACCGGGAGAAACATCCGCCGGGCCATCACCAACCTCATCCGATCTGCCGATTCCGGCGATGTCCTCTCACCCCCGTCTTGCCGATTCCGGGAGTGCCCCCTTTTTCCACTACGCCGGCCTTGGCCCCCGCCTCCTGCTGAGACTGGCGATGACGATGACACTGGCTATGATGAGTGCATCGTCCCCACTGACATGAACCTCATCACTGGTCTGTTTCTGATTGCTCTCTCTCTTGTTCTTTCTCTTTTTGTGGCCTGTTTTGGTTTTCAAGTTTTGGGTTTTGTTGGAAAATTCAGTCTGATAATTGTTTTGATGATTGATGATTATGTGGGTTGTCTCTGATGATTGTTTTGATGTGTTTGTTTCCTGTATCTGATGAACAAAATTGATGGATCATGTATAGAGTTACAGCATTTCAGGAAAATAGACATCGAGTTTTGTTGGTCCAAAGATTTTGGATTAACTGAATTTCTGTTTGGAAATCTGGATATTAATTTTAACTACTTGGGTTGTTGGTCTGCATTTGAATGATTCAAAGTGCTGATTCTGAGCTTGACTGATGTGCTTATGTTTTCAGGTTTGATATTGTGTTTAGGTCCAAAATTAGGTCATTTCTATCTAATTATCTTTCTAATACAAACTCAAAATAAACCTTCAGCTCAAAACACTGTAATCTAAATCTCAAAAGCAATATCAACATCGAAATACGAGAAGAGTTTATTTATAAAGGTTCTAATGCTACTTTGAACATAATGTGATTGTTCTGTTTGTTCTTCGGTTGATATGACAAGTTCACAACCGTTGTGGAATGTATTTGCAACAGATGATGACTTCAGGGAGTTTGTAGACCAGCTGCCAGCAGGTTGCCGGCTGACAATGGTATCAGATTCTTGCCACAGTGGCGGCCTCATTGACGAAGCTAAAGAGCAGATAGGGGAGAGCACCAAAGGGGAAGAGCGCAAGTCTAGCTCTGGTTTTGGTGGATTCAAGAACTTCCTCAAGGACAGGGCAGAAGATGCACTTGAGTCTCGTGGAATCCGCATCCCGTCTGCATTGCGCCCCGATCGGCACCATGAAGAAGAGTCTGATGACAGAGAAATTGAAACTGGATATGGGCACAGGGGCTATGTCAAAAGCAGGTCTCTGCCACTCTCAACTCTCATAGAGATACTCAAGCAGAAAACAGGAAAGGATGACATTGATGTTGGGAAGCTGAGGCCAACACTCTTCGATGTTTTCGGAGAAGATGCCAGTCCTAAGGTGAAAAAGTTCATGAAGGTCATCATGAACAAACTCCAAAACCATGAGGGCAGCAGCGGTGGGTTATTGGGGAAGATTGGAAGCTTGGCTCAAGGGTTTCTTGAACAAAAGCTTCAAGATAACGATGAGTATGCAAAGCCTGCTTTAGAGACACAAGTGGGTAGCAAGCAAGAGGTTTACGCCGGAGCAAACCACCGCGCTATTCCTGATGGCGGGATTCTCATCAGTGGTTGCCAGACGGACCAAACTTCTGCAGATGCCAGTCCTTCCGGAAATCCGACGGAAGCTTATGGGGCTCTTAGCAATGCCATTCAGATCATACTCTCTGAAAGAGATGCTGAAGTTACAAACCACCAGCTTGTTCTCAAGGCAAGGGAGACTCTGAAGAGGCAGGGTTACACACAGCGACCTGGCCTCTATTGCCATGACCACCATGTCGATGCTCCTTTTGTGTGCTGATCTGAAGATTTTATATTACATATATGGTGATAAATAATTGTGAGTGAGGTACTTTGTGCTGATGAGTGAGGTACTTTGTGCTGTGATTCTGCTGATTTTATTTTCATGAAGGATTTCTTATTATTTTTATGTTCTTCACACAAAGGATTTTTTTTTTCCCAGACGAAGGATTTTCTATTTCATCGATTATCTGAATGTCTTTGAACATAAAAGGATATTGTATTTCATCTAGTAAATGAATAATATTGAACAAAAATGAAGATTTTCTATTTCATCTACCATTTGAATAACAACTGTATGACATTGATACAAATTAGTTCCAGCAGAACTATAACCAAGACAGCCTAGTAGACTAACCTCCATTGCCTTCAACAACAATGTCGATGATATACAAATAGGGGGAAAAATGGAGCCAATGGAGGGTGAGAGAAAAAAAAAATCAAAATCAATGACTGCTTCCATTACAGTGCAGAAAAATCTGTTTTCTATTTCTTAGGTATTTGGCTTCTGCCTTCTGGAACTATTCCCGTGCCTCCGAGATTAACACGGCATATAGAGCAACTCACCAAAAATTTACAACCAGACTACTGCGTCATCTCAATCATCAATTTCTTGAACCCATGCAAAATCTGTAACATAATAAAAGCAGCCTCTGTCAAGGTAAACTTCGAAAACCAAACAAATGAGTTAATATCAGGCTGCATTAAACATGTGAACGGATTCCATTCATTAGCCTCTTTAGCCATTTAGGAGTTTCACTTGAGTAAAAACAAGGGCAAGTTTAGCTAGACACCAAGAAATTAGTCAAGTAAATGCTCATTGTTGAAAGAGTTTGGGTTGGAGTGTTTTTGAAAATTTTCTGACTGGTCAAGCATCAGAGCATAAAAAAAAAAAAAAATTAACAATGGAGATGGGGAGAGACCTTGAAGTACGGATTCAACTGCTGCATTTGGGACAAAGAGACCGACAATTCTGCGGTTATCTGTCGTGGTTTCTATACGCACAACACGTAGCCGCTTGTGGCTTTGCCGGGCCTGTTAAAATTGTCACAAGAGTTAAAAAAATATATTGAAAATTGAGAGGTATGGATGAGATTGCTCACTAATGAACCATAAAGAAAATAGCCTAGAACAATCAAAAGATGTATCCAAAGCAAACCAACAAAACCTTAGTGGGAATAGCTTGGGAACCAATAAACCAAAGTAACACTTGCATTCTTCTTTTTGTATATTTAACTATATATATGATGCTTCAAGAAAGCATGTTTATTACGTATTTCATTATATGTTCTAATTGGATTATTGAATTATATGTTTCGATTTGATTTATGTATTTCATCATACGTTTTTTACCAAATGAAACCCGTTCTGTGGGCATGTATTCATGCACGAAAGCACACATGTTTTCCTGAAGAGTTGAAACTGTTCTACTCTGAAATGGTTGATGCTGATTTTATCCTTCACTATCATGGAAAATGTCTATTGACCATTTTCTTTTTCCTAATATTTTGTCATCCAAGACCCACGGACTTCTGTGAAGGTATGATGACTTGAACTGAAGCACTGAGGGAGAGAGCAAACATGCTTACCATCTCTTTGTTAATTAGTATCAGATAGTACCCAGAAAAATCAAAGAAGTAAACTTACCATGGAAACATTATACAAACAGCTGAAGATAACCATTATAATAAATAAATAAATAAAAGGTCATCTGTACTTTTCCTACAATGAATTATCCAGGAACAATTAGGTGGAACACTGACACTTAATAACACAGCATTGTCATGATTGTCCACAATGGAGAAACAGGCAGCAAATGAAAAAAGTTACCTGCTTAGAAAGAGCCTTTTCAATAGTGCCCCAAACAGGAAGAATGAGGCCACCTAATACATTTACTTCCTGCAGTCTTCTGCCAACAGTACAGAAGTTGCCAAGCTTACAATTGCGCCCATGCATGCACTGCAAGTAAAGGTGAAGTCACAAGATAAATACAATCAGCAAAAGAGATGTATGCACAACTAAAGAATTTTCAACTAATCCACTTAGAATATGAACTGTTATGCACGGGTAGCAGTTTGAGTTCTTTTCTGGTAAAAGAAACAAAATCCAAAACTTCAAGAAAGATAGGGCCAGACTCGCACATAATGTAACCAGCAAAAAATTGCAATGACCATGAAAGTAAACATATTGCACCCGAAGGTTTGAATAAAATTGGTCCAACAATAGTTGCTTTTTCTTTCATTCTTGATCATCATAGAAGAATAGTAAATTTTAATATACAAAAGATATAGATTTTCACCATTATAATATATATAACAACCACCAAGTCATACAATAGCAGTATAGCAACTATTTGTACCAAAAATTCAACAGCCATATCAAATTAAATTCATCAAGCATCTACACCTGTTTGGACGAAACTTCATATTCATCTTCCCAACCACTGCGAGCCTTCTCTAATGTTAACGTTTTTCTGTATTTGTTTTTTAGCTCTGACAGAGGCATTTCTCTGGATAAGGGAAAAAAGTAGGTAAAAGTGAAACATAGATACTTTAAATACAAAAATGAATGGAGCGCGGAAATTATAAATTTGATACCTTACTGACTCTCCAACAGCAGGACGGACTATCTTATACGATCCAGAAGTAGAACTGAAACACATTTAGGGTAAACCAATGAAAACAGAGAGTCACGCAGCAGGATTCCCTAATTAAAGGAAAAGAACCACGAACATCTAAATGTCTCTTTTTATAATTAGTTGGCCACCATGGATATAGCTAAATTTCTTGGAACAAAGGTAAACCAATAAATTTTATCATGGCCCACAACATTCAGATTTCAACATCTTGAAGTTTTTAAGTTTATTGATCTCAAGTGAACAAATGATATTCCTCCGATTCGCTTCTCCAAACTGACATTTTAATAACTTTAGCAAATTTGGGACCAATAATATCCAATCCAAAAATTCTGGGGATGGTTAGTTCTGTCAATTCCAGTTTGGCATAGTTTGCTCTTATCCAGTTCTATCAATTTATGAAATCGAAATTTCTTTGACACAATTCACGAAACAAGAAAATATACTTAGTATAGACAATTAGGGAATAAAAGTATCAACTATAAGTTCCTCTCAAAGTTTACCACTGCCTAAAGTCTAGTTTGAGTCTTAGCAAAGATGTGCAATTTATTTTTCACCACTTACGGTTGCAATTTGACTTGCAACCAGTATATACTATGTCATGTCTCTTTCCCAGAATTCCAAAACAAATAGATGTAACATGAACTAGCAATCATGAAGACAAACTCAATAAGGAAAAGAAAAAAAAACCTGGTATATAAATGCACTTGAGTAATATTACCTAGAGCAATCATTGGCAGAACAATCCAAGTTTCAAAATAAAAAATACATACAACTAGAAATGAAGTACCTCTCAAAGGCTAATATGATATGACGTCTCCCCAGCCACTCCCTCCTAGATTCATAGAACCCATCATTGGCAGAACCAAGCCCATCCCTTTGTTTCTCTTCAAGCATGGCACTCGCAGACTACCAAAGATGAACATAATTTAGTATGGTGAATTGACATAGTCATAATCACCACTCAACTACTCAGGTGGAAAAACAACGTACCTCCCACATGATCCCACGATCCAGGGTAAAAGTAAAAAGAACTGTTGAAGCTCCAGACATTTGATCAACATAAACAGTCTGCAACAAATTGGAAGTCAATATCAAGATATATATGTAAAGCAAACAAGTGAAATTAAACAAAGCTTGACCTTCGGAGTTCCTTGTAGCTCTATAACATTAGCTTTCATATCAACAATCCCAGAGTCAAGATTCCCTTCAATGCGTGCATTATGGATAATAAGATCCAAAATGCTAACAAAACACTCGAACAACCTGTGTTTTTTTATGATGTCAGCATATTAAGCCCAACTCGAACTACAACAAGGAAATTATTTTTTAATTGACAGATCATGGACCTATTCTGTATATCAGGTGGCAATCCTAAAATTCGATTGAGGAAACGTCCAACATCATGCATATCTGATTCAACTATACGGCCAGAGAGCTTCCCATAATCTTTCCCAGTAGCTACATTACATATGGCAAGTACAAGTTACCATCAAGAGAAATATAAAATAAAGTTAAAAGCAGATTCACTGTGACACTATTACACAAAATAATATTCTTAAATCAATCAACTGTGCTAGCATAGTATACAATTTGCAGTATATTTGAGGAAATAAAAGTTAGCATTTAATATTTTATCCAACATAGTACTGTATAGCTGAAAAAAAGCTCACCATCCCTAACTATTCCTACAAAAACGAGAGAAGCTTTTGCCTTCACAATAAAATCTTGAATTGTCTCTGGTTTTTCAGATGAACATCCTGGCGGTACAACAGGCAGAGAATCCTGAAAACTGATTTCTAGTTATTTTACATTACAATTTAATTTTTACTTATATTAATATAATATGGAGGCAACTATATTATTTTTCAGAAGAAGTTCATAAAAACCTGCTCCATAATTCCTCTATACATCAACATCAAAGCTTTCTTTCCATAAGCACTATCATAATTATAGGCACTCAACGATGGGCCTGCCCTGCAATTCATCAAACCAAATGATGAGATAGGCAAATGACTCACAGGATAAGGAATAAAATTACGGCACGTATTCTTATACCACAATGGTAACAACCAATGAATATACATCAACCAAATTCAACTAACCTGCGGTCACCCTGTGTTAGTGCTCCAAGAGATTCTAATCTCTTTGCAACAATGGATGCAAACCGACGTTCTCCACCAAGGTTAGTAAAGAGAAGTCTGCAAAGGAAAGGAAGGATTAAACTACTTTACCAACTCGGAAAAACACTAACCATACATGATTCTCATATCTGTCACAGCTTACACTAATCGCATTGCACAGAAAATGACAAATGAATCATTACAAAAGTATTCTTCTGTGAACAAATGAATTTTATTGCTTCTCAAGAGACAGAAACTCACATAGTTGCAAAGCCACCGGTTGGCATGGTTTAACCATAATTCAACCAAACTACTCATACATCAGCATGATACCATTGCATATGTTGAGCATTCAGTAAATAAGGATATCTAGTTGCACTAAAGCATTAATGATTTTGGATCTTATCCTGTCAACTAGGCGCTCTGATACACTACAGTGTACTGACTCAGTGGACAAGCCCTTACTTCTAACAGTAGAGAAAGCTGGGTGCTTCTAACAGTACTGACTCGAG